CTTTTTTTCTGCTATGAATCTCTAGCATCTATTTAATTACACTGATCTAACCAAGTAGCAAACAATGCTGTTTCAAAACAATTGGATATATAACAGTCATAATGTGTTCCAGATACTTCCTATTTTAAATTGTGTCTATAATAAAACTGAATGCTTCAGTCAGTCACTTTTCAGTATCATGAAAGAGGATCTGTTGATGAACAGTTCTGTTTTTCACATTCTTCTGAGGAGTAAGAGATTGGCCATGGCTGGATCTGATGCACTGCAAAGCGCTGGGCAGTGCTTAATGTGGTGGAGGGAAAATCCGTTCTGGCATCTGGCAGGGATGTCTTGTGCATGTGCTTGGATTGGTCCTATCATCAAAAGCAGGGATGAAAAGGAGGTTTTGGTTGACTCAGACTGGTGGGACCTTGAGGCGTTTTCTTTCTTATACAACACAAAAATGCTTTGCTTCCTGCGTTTAAGTAAACTGTGTGATTCAAAGAAATGCTGCCACTGGCCCTTTGTGTGTCCTGCTTTCTGCCCTTGGCAGGCATTAGGGTTTTGTGAGAACTCAATCCTACATATGCTTTTAGGCAATAATGGCTCTTATAAGATCAGACTAAATAATTGAATCTGTCCTTAATTTCTGTAGGGATTATACAAGTGAAATAAAAGTATATGGTCAAAGTGCATCATCTTAAAATCATTACCAGGCATTACAAAAGCGAGTTACTTGTGAACRGTTATGGCTACAGAATAACACAAGCACTAATAGTCTGTATATTAGAATATGCATTATTATCATATTAACATTTTTTCCTGTAAAGTTTTGACTTAAATTGTACTCTAATAATAGGTTTGCAGCATGACTTGCTCCCGTTAAGTTAGTGCAGAAAACGTGCAAGTGCATTCAGAAGGAAGTGCAATGAATTGATTTTTTTTCCAGCAGTTGATCATTGTATGGACTAGCACCAAGTGTTTATCTGTGCAACAGAAAATACTGACAGAGCTCTCTTTCTTCTTCCTTATTCTGGTTGTGCAGGAAAAGAAGCCCATCGATATCAAGAGACCAGAACAGAAGATACGAGCAGCGGGAGGAACGAGACGACTACTCGCAGTATGCTGCATCGGACAGTGCGATGCCCAGGTCACCATCAGATTATTCAGACAGGCGCTCTCAGCGAGGGCCCCAGTTGTATGAAGAGCCTGAACTGGGTGATTATAGAGATTCCAACCGAAGGAGTCGCAGGCGTTCCAAGGAGTATCCGGTAGAGGAGGAGGATGTCCAGAACAGGGAAGAGTATGAGAGGCAGCGGAGGGAGGAGGAATACCAGGCGCGGTACCGGAGCGATCCCAACTTGGCTCGTTATCCCGTTAAGCCGCAGCCGTATGAGGAACAAATGCGCATCCATGCCGAGGTGTCGCGAGCACGTCATGAGCGGAGGCACAGCGATGTCTCCTTGGCAAATACTGAGATGGAAGATTCCCGGATATCTATGCTGAGGATGGAACGGCCGTCAAGGCAAAGATCTGTGTCTGAGCGCAGAGCTGCCATGGAAAATCAGCGCTCGTACTCTATGGAAAGAACTCGAGAGGCTCAGGGACCAAGTCCCAATCGCCAGAGGACCACAAATCACAGCCCTCCTACCCCTAGGAGGAGTCCCATTCCTCTGGAAAGACCAGACATGAGGCGCTCGGATTCGCTAAGGAAGCAGCACCATTTGGATCCTAATTCTGCTGTACGGAAAACAAAACGTGAGAAGATGGAAACCATGTTACGGAATGATTCGCTTAGCTCAGACCAGTCTGAATCTGTGAGACCTCCGCCACCAAAACCCCATAAAACCAAAAAGGGAGGTAAAATGCGCCAGGTTTCATTAAGTAGCTCAGAAGAAGAACTGGCCTCTACTCCAGAATATACGAGTTGTGATGATGTAGAGATTGAAAGTGAAAGTGTTAGTGAAAAAGGTAAGATTTCTTATTTTTTTTTATTATTTCATTATATAAACATGGTTATGTTTCCATTCCCTTGTATATCTGTTTTACGTAGTAGAATGCATTGCAGTTGCCTATCAACAGTTCTTCAAATGTTTCTGAAGCTTGTTGTGATGGGATTTTCTTTTTTTTTTAATTTTATTTCATTTATTGAAATTCACATTTAATGACAAATTGCACAAAGAGTTACATGGAGAAGAATCTAACTGTTAGGAAGTATTTGGGTATGTTAAAGGGAAGACCATGTTTGTTGAAAAATAATGAAATTGCCGAGTATCTAGAGCAGGACTGTCACACAAATTCATGCTTTCATGACCATTGTTAATACTGGATTTACATGCCCTTTGGTCACCCATCAGTACAGATTTGGTCTGGATCAAGCGTGTGCACCAGACTGAATTCCTGTTGAATTCTGTAGAGCAACATGGTTCAGAGTTTATGCCGCTTCGTGGTGGCAGCTGGCGGTTAAACAGCATCTGAACTAGCGAGCAACCTGTGTRAGTACAGTTAGTGCACTCAAATTTTAAACACATTTGTAGTAACTGAGGTGGTTTCTATCTGGGGAGTTTTTCTTGCCATGGGGCTGTGGTGCATTTTGGTTTTAGCACTTACTAGGACTCATGATACTGCAGTTATTCCACCGTCAGAAGAAGATTTGTGATTAACTGGAGTAATTCCCAACCCATCCAGAGGTAACTGTTCTTACATATGACTGGACCATGAAAATACTGGGGACCATCAATTTTGACTGCTAATATGTTGAATTAAGTTAATAATATTAAGTCATTTACCTTCATGTGTCTCATTGGTCTAAAATGCAATATCTGTAACTTGTTTTCTGTTATTATTATTGTGCCAGGACCTCTTTTCTTCATGCTCATGAATGTTTGTGCTCTTTATTAGCAGTGTTCAAGGTATGAACAGGTAGGAAAAGGAAAWATGTTTTATAAAATATTAGTGTATATCTGCTATTGTGGTTTGGGATGGAAGGTTTGCTACAATTTGTTATTATTGCCATTATCAGCATTATTTCTGAAGCAAGTAATTCAGCAGAGATAGTTAGTGAAACTACTTTGTTTTTTCATATGCCAATAGCCTATGAACTTGAGTCTGAGTAGTAAGGAGCAGGACAGTGCAGAATAGAAYGAAACTTAGCCCAGAGTCGAAGTAGATTTATATATACACTTAAATCCTGTGATGAAATCCTGACATGTTCAGTCTTCCTGACCAAGAGCAAATTTCCTTTCAACTTCTGGGGATTCACGATTTTTCTCTTAGTAGCAGCCTAGCAGAAAACTGATCCAACTGATATCTGGGAGGTTAGTAACACAGTGTGTATCCAGGGAAATCTGCAATAGGAAACAGATTAGAACAGATTATTATATCTCTGTGTTCATAGTAGGCAATGTCCAAATGAGAATATACAAAAATGTTAGAATCTTTGTGGCCATAATTGGTATAAATGACAGTTTTCACAGATAATTTTGTATTTTAACTATGAAAGAAAGGAGAAAGAGAAAAACTGCCTGAGTGGGGGAAAAGGCCTGGCTGCTGCAGCCTTTTCTTCCACTCTTCAAATGCAGAAGCTCCGGGTCAGTGGTGTTTGAGTGGAGCTGGAGGCCTGGATGGGAGAGAGAAAAGAGAAGATCTGCTCCCATGAAGGGGTCCCCCTGACCTGGATCCAGCCTTCCCAGCTGCCAGCATTGGGAAGCTGGGAATTCCTCCATCCTCCCCTTAGCTGTCATCAATGTCTCTTACCAAAGCTTACTGGCTTTCTGCTTTGCAAGGTCTCCCCAGACCTGAGGAGTTCTCAGTTGTCCATTCAGGCCACCTATGAAGTTTGTTTGGTCTGAGAGGTAATGCTAAATATAAAACATTCAGACTCAGAGCCTCAAAGGGTGGCAATGTTAGAGTGAGATTTTGAATGCAGTAATAATYTGTTCTGCAAAAGGTGGGAATAATTTGTTCTCCCTCACTTTTTACATGAGTTCACTGATCTGTTCACAGAATCTACAAAGAAGTTTTAGTGAGTGCTCATCTGTGAGATGCCAGAGTTGTAGGAGCAGCTGAGCACTAAATGACACCTGAGATTTTCCAAGACTTYTACGTTGATCTTCTGTAAAAAATGTGAATTATCCAAAAATACAGCTATAAATTCTTAAAAGAGCTGCAAGTTTACCTCTTCAAACTTATCTTTCTATAGGAAAAAGTTGTTACTGCCTTTTAAAACGTACATGCGTAGSATTGAAGAGAGCATTTTCGTTCAGCAAGGATAACAAAAACAGGGGCCAGCTTATGGGAAGGTCATCTGTTACTACCACCTGTGACTTTAAATATTTGGGTCTGATGTTATTTCAGTAGCTGTCTGAAGATATATTTTCCTTAGTATTTGAATGTATATCTATCTTGACCGTCTTCAGGGAGGAGATCAGGCAAAATCATTTTTCTGATGGTTCCTCGTAGTGACCAGAGCAACTTGGAGTGATCCTGGCTCTTCTAGGTTGGGCATGAGGGAAACTGGGAACTAGAACTGGGTTCAGATAAAGCTGTTGGACACCAGGACATCACCGAGGCAYCGTGTAGATAGCTGTAGGAAACACAGGAATGATGAAGGTGTATGGAGATACTGGTGTTGTAGGCTCACCTGTAGAAGGGTAAGAGCTGCATAGGTTTTGTAATAAAACTTTATCTGGATCAGGAATTTCAGGTCGTCATCTAGGCTGAGAATATTTATATTGGAGTGCGAATGCAGAGGCTGCAGGAGGCTGGACTGACAAGAAAAGGAAGTTTGGGAACTACAAAATAAAATGGGCCGGGGGCTGGAMACCCGTGGGCTGGGATGGTTACTGAGGCTGGAGAGAACCAGAAGAGGGGAAAAAAACCCTTGTAAGTCAAGCAGACTGAACTCGTGACTCATAATTTGGGAAGAACAGAAAAAAAAAGTGGAGGAGACAGAGCTAATAGACATAACTGGGAAGGTGAGACCTGCAATTTACTTAGCTGTAGGTTACAGTGTACTGAGCGTGGCTGAGAAACAGCAGATTGGAAACATAAGGAGAAGGCTGGGAAAAGCTGTGGGTGGTTGAGAAAAGGATGTTTAGAGAGAAGTACAGGAAAGTGGAGCTGGCCTTGGAAAACTTGGCAAAGGGAAGTGGGACTTGCTGAGGAAGGAGGGAGGTCTGGCCGTGGAGGGGGAGGCTGCCGAGGTGGGGAGGGCAGGACAAGGGTGAGGAGCCACTTTGGTGGGGGGGACAGGGCAGCTCATTCCTTCAGCSGGCTGGAAGCAGCACAGAGAAACAGCCCTCAGCGACACAATTAAGGTTACAAAATCATCTGCTCAAAACGTTGGCAGGGCCAGAATTAGACGTTTTGCAGGTGAAATTCTGCCTGGTTATTCATATATGTTAAAGCCATCAACAGTGATAAGAGCTGTGTGCTGATTGACCAGGTGATCTCTGCCTTAGGATGAACAATTCTAACTGAGCTATTCGAAATTATCTGAAACTCTCCACATTTTTTTTTTTCAGTGTTGTCTAAGGGACCTTCCCCTTCTCTTCTTGTGAATGCCAGATTTCCGAAACTGCAAACCCTGCATCTCCTTTTCAGGGTTGTCACTGGGCGTGGGGTAGCAGACAGGCTGCTGTGCGGGGCCTCAGTGGCAGGGTAGTGTTCCCTTTCTCTGTGCTTTTGCTTGGAAATGTGTTGTACAGAGAAGAAAAAAAGCTAACCATGTRTTTTGTACCACAGTACTGGATATGCTTCTAAAAGAACAAAATTGATTAAAATATTAAGCAAAAACAATTCTTGAAATGCCAGTGGTTTTATGAAATTATTGCTTTTAGGAGGCAGTAAAAAGGATTCACAATCAGGACATGGAAAAAARGTCATAATGATTAATTATTAAATGTTCTGTATTATTAAGTTCACCACCCTTTTTTCTCAAAACTCTTCCASTTTACCTGGTTCCATTTCAAGGCTGTGAGAAACATGATTTGTAAGATAAGCATTACCCTAATGTTAATTGCAATAAAATGAGCACTGAATTGCACTATCCACAGAATTTCAGATGAATTTGTGCTCTTGGTGATATGCACGTTAGTCCAAGCTGTCCGCATTGCTTGTCCACTTTAAGTCTACTCTATTATGGGGAAATATCAAAGCATTTTTTAAATCTGTGTTTGTAGCTAGATGTTTGTCAGTTCTGACATAAGGCATGTATGGCCAGTTTGAGTGGCCCCCTTGTTTGTCAGCTGGTGTGTAGCCACTTGGCCTGTGCGGGTCCAGATTTCCCTGGTGTTGTTAGCCACAGAGCACCTTTCCTCTCTGCTCCTAGTGGCAGTATTGTCACATTCTCGCCCCATCTGAAGAATCCTTGCTGCAGTCATGCCCAGAAAATGCAGTGTTCCCTGGGGCTGTCCCAAAATGGGCTCGGAGGGGGCATGTGGGCACCCTGCCATTTCCCAAATCCCCAAAGCCGCAGCGKTCAGGCCGGACACAACCTCTGTGTGGAAAAACAGCACCTTCCAAGGATGATTAGCTCTGAAGGTTGCTCTGGACACGAAGTGGGACGTGGTGCATTGCTTGGCGGCGGGGAGCATGGAGGAAGAGGTGCAGAGCGGCCTGCGGGCCTGCGCACGCGGCAGCTGCAGAGGACAACCGTGCCGCTGTGTCTTACCTGAACTTCAGGTCACTGCTGGCTTCTACTGTGCTTTATTAAGACATGGTAGCTAGGGGAAGCCTGTTTTTATGACAGAAATTTAAGTAGAGCACGTGGAGATAAACAGACTGCTGTGATCATAGGTGCCTCAGAGTCCCTGGGCTGCTGTTGGAAGGCTCCAGAGCACAGGCCGGGCTGGGATGTGGGCATGCAGGGCGAGGGTTCCTAGTGCTGTTCTTTGGCACTAAATGTATTGAAAACTCAGCTATATAACCTTTCTTGGTCATGCTGCACTCAAAAATATGAATAACTGCAC